TACGTAGCTCTCGGAAGAGAACTCCCTCCCCTCATATTCGGCGTCATCACACCACCTCCAGAAGTCCCTCACGTCAAGCCTGATCAGACCGGCGAATGTTTTGTTTTCTTTCGACCTAGTATTTTAGGAACTGCTATCGCGTTGCATGTTATTATCAATTTTAATATCAATTGCGATTGTGTTGTATTATGCTTGATTAGTGAGCAAGTGATTCTGTTGCTACGTATATCTGCTGATCTAAATTTTACAAGTCGAACTTTATTACGAGAACGAATCATTACATTTATTTTCTGAATAATTTACAAGGCCGTAAACTTGGTACATTTATAATTTTTGTTTAAAAACCATCTAGAGCTTCACTTTCTTCTCGAGTGTCCTGCTTAAATCGATCGCTGACTTGGTGAAGCATTGTCGTCGTTGTTCTTCATACCTCCATCACATTGTTTCACATCAAATACCTTATCTCTTAATCCCATTTCTCATAATGTATACTCCCACCCACGGATACAGACTCGTGTGGCTCTGAAAACGACAAGGAGCCTGCAACTTCGACAAGGGAGTTTGATTCTTCTATATATTTAAATCCAGTTCTATATATTTTTGTATCAAATTATGACAATTCAAGGCTTCAATATGAGTTGCTTACTTCTCTTGCTCAGTTTGAGTTTCATTCAAGCATCTTTGTCTTAGTCAATGTATTAAATATCGACAGATATATTGGGTTAAGGACCTTAGCACAACGATATTTATGGTTTTATAGTGTTTTCTACTTTTTGGGAATTTTTTCAAGATACCAGCCAATATCAGAAACATCGACCGATATATCCCTTTGAAGATATTGGTAAGCTTGTTTTCAATATGACTGTGGGTTCGGTTTTGTATTAGGCTTGGGAACTCGAACTAAAGCCCACAATCAAATTAAAACTGCAGAACCCAAACCCGAACCTATAAAATCTACAATCCATCTCCCAAATCTCTCTACTCACGAATCTCCCAAACCCTAAACATATATCACACTGTAATTTTTTATGTTTAGAATTCATTAATATATTTAGATTACATATTACAGTATAATGTTATGTATGAAAATCATCATATATGGCACCCTAATAATTTTTTACATGTTCTCGATATATCCCTGATTTTCACAAGACGATATTGATTTTGGGCGTCTGATATTTATCCAATATTTGATATTTAATACATTGGTTTTAGGAGGGGAGGTTGATTTCTCAGATGGCTTTGGTTAATATTACAGGATCTCAAGCAATTGCTTTTCTTTATTCTGCAAGACTGAGTTGCTATTAATTCAATGTTCCTAACATCTGAAATTGAATGGACTCTAATATTTGATGCAATTTTCCTATTTTTCTACGAGCTTACAATAAAATTTTGGAAGATTTTCAAATAGTTCTTCATTTTCAATATATGGTTTTCCTAAATGAAATCAGTGTTACGTGTTATGTAAATCACGATCCATGCTAAATGAGAATTTCAGAAGTTTGTTTGGAGGTTAGTAAACATTTATGACATTTTCCTAAAGATCTAGGGAAAGTTACGACTTGTTTGAATTTAAGCAAATGTTGTGTGTTTCAAGGAAGTGTATAGGTGACAAGAGTAATAAATCATGAAGGTTTTCGGGTTGAGTTTTTGGGGTTGGCTAAATGAATTCTCTTCTTACATTGAAATGTATAATATTTCTTATGTAATATAAAATAAAATATTACATCAAAATTTTCCACAGCGTGGCAAACATAACACTAGTTATATGCTTAAAGGAGAATTGAGGTATAAAGTTTTGGAGTCTCTGATGTTCTAAATGAAACCTAGGAACATCACGAAACCTAGAGAACATACCACAGATTCATAAGAGACGAATTATGGGTTACATTATTGATTATAGCAACAAGAAACGACGTATAAAGTATTGGTATCTCTAATTCTCCATGAAACCTAGGAACATCATGAAACCTAGAGAACAGACAACAAACTAATTAGGAGATAGATATTATTAGTTAAATTATTTATCATAGCAGCATTGTCAGTGCACGTGGCGCAATGCGGGCCGTACTATATCTTTACGCGAACATGCGCAAGGCGCAACGTCAGGCGCATGCCCGAGTGATGCGAGGTGCACACCGCACGCATAATTTTTCAAGACGGATAAACAAGCATTAAAGAACATGCTTAGAAATGCACATAAAAAATATGTCAGGATAAATAATATCTTACAACCAAATCACAATATAAGGTCTTAATTTTTAATACTATCACATCCAACATAGTGATAAGGTTCATAATTTTTCAAATCAAATGTCAAATCAAGACTAATATCCAAGCAAAACCAAATAGTAAACGAGAATTAGTTAGGGTCCTCAATTGAAGGCTACTAAAAAGGCCTACTGAATTTTTTTGTTTATTAGGAAATGGCCTATCGAGTATAAAGACTCAATTGAAATGTTAACGAATAAAATATACTAGGCTACGTACTACATGCACCCTGCACAAAGTCAGGATACTTGCGAGGCGCAAAAGGTGCTGTGGCATCAGACGTGGGGCGTTTCGCCACCACCCCGCATCGCAGGTTGCATGAGGCGCTGTGAGACACGCGCCTTTGAAATTGCTATGATCACCATAGAAACAAGGAATGAGCCAAAGCATCCAAAGCTTTATAAAACAGGGATATAACGATTTAGAAGCATTCATGGGTGCACTCATATCAGTCAGCCAATTCATCATGGCCCTAAGTGTCCAAACTAAGATAGCTCAGACATATCCATGTGCAAGTGAATAGAGGGGGGTGTCTGGCACTCCTAAAGTAGGTCATGGCACACCTAAAGTAGATCAGAGCATGTCTTATCCATCCCTTTCCAAGAAGTTAACTATTATATGCTATGTTGTACTTAAGCAGATCATGGGAAAGTTTCAGGTAATGACCATCTTCATACACAATTGTCATTGTCTTCCAATCTATTTTAGACTTTAGCTATCCACATCAAATGAAGAATACATATAGCTATAAGCTGAAAATTTTAAAGTATATATTTAAATTTTTGTCATCAAAAGGTATCGCTTAACTTATTGGATTCAAACTAAATTAAACAAAAAAGAAAGAAGTTTATTTGAAAACTCAAAATGAGATAAGATCCAGAGATTCATGCTATGAGTTAATCTAAACCTAAAGAACCTATGGTTGATTACAAAAACTAAAATCCTAGAGGCAATATTTTAAAATCATCACAAAAATGGCATTCAATAGCTAGAGATTGCATCACATCATAGTGTAATTAAAGGCGCGCGCCTCATTGCTCTTCATGTGTCCTGTGATGTGTCCTCTGATACGGGGGCAGGGGAAGCGCTCTGTAGCTAGCTAATACGACGCCGCCTTTTTGAGCCTTGCATGTGCCCTTAACTAAGGCGCTTTGCACAGGTCGCATACAAGGCATAGCCTCGTATATTTTTGTGCTTTAACATTTAAATTGGGCTTTTATACCTGATAATACATATCTTAAAAAATAAAATAAACTCATTACGCCTTTTTAGTAGCCCGGTTGATGATCCTAACTTGTTCTCACTTACTATTTCATTGTGTTTCAGTATTAGTCTTGATAAGGCTATTGATTTGGAAAATATGAACTTTGCTACTATGTTGGGTGTGTTTGCATTATGAATTAAGACCTTGTTTTATAATTTGGTAGTAAATATTATTTATCTTAACATACTTTTTAGTGAAAATTCATATACATATCCTTTTGTTCTTGATTACCGATCTTGACAAGTTATATGTGCGATGTATGCCTTGGTTCCCTCGGGTATGTGCATCACATTGCCCTCACGTATGTGTGGGTAAAGGGACTTCGTGCCAAGCATTGCGCATTGCGCACTGATAGTAGTACAACACTACATGCAAGCTATGAATTGAATGGCTTTATATGGTCCTTGGATTTGAATATGGTATTACAAGATCCAGTTGTCTAAGGAAGGTAATAGGTCCACAACTGTTTTCATGTGCAAGACGTAGAGAAGATCCCAGTTTATTTTTTTCTTTGCGCTTCTTTTAGCTTAGCAATTAACAATAGTTGTCCAAACTTTATACAATTGTATAAATTACCTACATTTGCAAAACATTTCTTTAATTTATAATAAATTTTTACTTCTACATTGCGTGGAATTCTTGAAATCTTTGGAGTCCTTTAATTTCTTAAGGTCCTATAAATCAGGATTTCATTATTCCCCGCATTGTGTTCCTACTTCCTAGTATCCCTACCATACAGTCATATCATTCACAAGCATAAAACATTTACATTTGGATGACAAATAAGAATAAAAGATATTGTCATCCTCCTCAAGTTGGACATTGCTACTACGTCTCCCCTTGCAATATAAATTTAGAGAAAGCAATTCTAAGAAAGGCCTACGAGATAAAAATAAAACGAGAAATAAAAACATATCCTGCATTTTCCCTCCATATGCCCGAAATATGAAATGTGCGCTTGCTCTAGTCCACATAACATCTCTAGAACTAGATCTATATTCATATAAATAACTCATACACCAACTCAATTATTATCTTTTTACAAAAACTAGCATTATCCAGGTATATCACGGGTAACATTTTTTCATATGTTACCCTTGAACTTGACCCCATGCAGACTACTTTGCTCATTAGTTCTCTTATGATTGAATCCCTCTTCTTTCTATCTTTATCATACAGTATCTAGGAACATAATTCACTTCTAATTCCAATTGGAAAAAAAAAACTTGTTTGAGAATTTATGATGTAACTCCAAGGCTTGACCTTAATACAACACATACATGCAAGACCAGACCACATCCATAAGTACAGGTTATGGACCAAAAAGAACTTTTAAGATTCTTTGAATAAATAATTTCAAAAAGTAGGAGAGGCACAGTGAACATTAGATAAAAGTAAAAGGTACTGAATCTCAAAATATGAACAGTAGAAGTCCTTAATTCAAAACATAAAGATGAACCCTTGCCTCAACAGATTCTCCCAAAGCAGCTCGCGCCTGCCCCCGCCGTTTCCAAGCTTCTCCGGCTGAAGGATTTGCTTCTATTGCCTGTACAAGCAGAGTTCTGAAGTAAAATACCCAAAAGAAAATGTGGATGTTGTATTGGCAATACACTATACCTTGGTAAAGTCAACAATAGCATTCTCAAGCTCCCTTTGGAATGCATAAGCAGTACCTCTTCCTATTAAAGCTTCTGGATACGTAGAATTTTCTCTCAATATCTGTCCATGTAAATATTATGCATTGTCTAGATAATAGCCGATAGAAGGATTTTACAAACAAGATGGAAAAGGGTATAACCTGGTTGAAGATGGCTACAGCTTCATCATACTTCCCTTCATTTACCTGCAAAAGTTCAGTCGAAGTGTGAGTGAAGTTCAGTTTGTCGGAGAAAAAATGGTTCAACTAAAACTATCAGTCAGATATAGCCCAGTGGAAGAGTGGTTTCGAGACTCCACTGTAATGCTAGAGACTTTCTAACTCCTATTATTCAGTAGATCATGACAGCAGGGTCCTAAGGTTGCCTTGATCAAAATATTTCCATCAAATGTAAAGCTAATAAGAAAGAAAACAAAACTCAGATAATCAAGCAACAAAAAAGAATAAGAACTTAGAAAACCACAGCCACAGCTCAACAAGGAAAATTTTCACTCGAGTGCTTAAGTCTAATTGCTCATTGAATCATTAACACAAAGCAGTGGCATGTCGGCGTATAATCGTCTAGTTACACTTAAAAGAAATTTTTCAGTAGAAATGCGACCCAGTTCATGGTTGTACTCACATACCAATTGTATGTGATTTAAGTGCATAATAGGTCAAATATATAAAAGTAGGGTTTTGTTTTACTACATGCTTGTGCATGAGTCTGATCAGAGAGAGGATTGTGTAGGAGCTTGCATATGGAGTTGCAACTATGTACATACCACATAGTGCAAGCAACTGGTCCTGCTTGAACAACACTAGGAACTGGTCTACTCATATATCCTAGTGCCACTTACCTTATATCGGGTGTTCCAATCACGTAAAGCAAATGATACATCACAAAAACACAACAGTTTAAGTATAATTCTGGTGAGAAAAGTGTGTTTTGAGATGAGATTTGACATTAATGGAAAATAGAAAAGAAAAAGAAAGGTTCATAAAAGAATCCAAGCTTGTATTAACAATTTCATGACATCCACCATTGATCATATTCTTTGATATAACTTCTATAAAAACTAATCACGAAATGAGCTGACTGTCATGTCTGACATTGTCTCATCCCAATATTCTGCCCTCGCATATGAGTAATTGCAATTCCAACAAAAGGACAGATAGAGAATGTAAGATACTCAGAGTTAACACTAATATTTTGGTTCTGGATGAGCCGTCCCCATTTGCAAACTAAAGTTTCTTGACCAGCCAGTAAACAAGAAGATATTAATATTACTAACTCATTTACCCTCCCGAAATAGGTTGTTATAAGTCCAATTTAGAATAGCAACCAATGTAGAGAACATATGGATCTGTAATAAACAACTAATAACACAGAGCACCAATCGCTTCAAAAGGCAATTCGCAAAGTACATTCCAGAATTACTTAACATTTAGTAGCTAACACGGTAATTGAAATGAATACTGAAACCATGCTCAAATGAGAATTCAATATTTCCGATTTTCAAGCCAACATCAAGTAAAGCTACTCCAGGAGTCCAACTTCCTACAGATTCAACCTAATAAGCTGAACGGTGGAATTAGATTTCCATCCTCTAATTCAACTGGTCATCAGAAAAAAAAGGGGAAACAGATCATAATGACTCTATGTACTATTGACCCATTGCTATAAATTGCTAGTTCTATGAAGTTTACTGAGTCTTTTTTACTTAATAGGAAACAGAATATAAGGATTAGTATAGGATATCATTTGGAAAGAAAATTGATGATGACTGGAGCTGAAATAGATTGTAATGCATAAGAATGAAACAGTTGCTGGATTATGAAATAGAAGAGTGACACTAATTTTCAAAAAGAAATATTGGCTGAAGTGATGGAGCCATAGATATTCTGACAGTATCCAATAAAATCCAAGTATGAAATTCATTTTTTGGAACTGTAAACTGACAAGTAATTCTTTCATACAAAGGAAAAACAGTAAAACTGCTTCGATGGAAAATTTGATTATACAGAATATTCAGATATAGATGGAAAGTGATGCCAGCTTCTCCTGGAATAAGGGTTAAGATGGACAGTTGGTATGGGACAGCTTGGAAACTCATAGTCAACTCTAGGTTAAGACTCCTCTGGTTTGATGTTCAAATGCTAAAGAATTCTCCCATGCATAATATACAGGTATATTCTTTACTTATGTCAGGGTATTATGCTTTTATGTCAATTCTCTTCAAGATTAGCTTCAGATAACACATCAATTCTCGAAGACTTTGTTCTCATTTGCTCTTAGGAAATGGAGGTGCCAGTTGCCAGTACCCACAGGTCCTTAATCTCAAGAGTGCAACATCTGATGCACATTAGGTAAAGAACCATTTTGATTGGGACATAAGAACAATAAATCTGAGTAAGAAATTTAAAGGGTTAAGTTTACTTAATCCCCCTTAGCTTTGGGGGTTTTGCACATAACCCACATGAATTTTGTTTATTTCACTTAACCCCCCTGAACTCTGGGGTGTCCCATGTAACCCCCACGAACTTTGAAGTTAGTGATCTGACACCATTACCTGTTAATGGTGAAATGAAACAAAAAAAAAAACTTTCTGAAATAGATAATTTTTTATAATCTGAGGGCAGGTTTCTCCTTTTTGTCATGTGCTTAGCAAGTGAGCTGTCAAAGTTGAGGGTGTTATTTTGGGGAGGAAAGGTTAAGTAAGACAGGTCAGAGAGGTTAAGAGGAATAAACAAAGTTCAAGGGGTCTATGTGCAAAACCCCCAAAATTCAAGGGGGTGAAGTGAAATTAACCCCAATTTTAATTAAGTTTCATAAGGTTGAATTGGTTTTTCAATTGCCTTGATTTGAGATGACGAAGACTGACTCTGTGCTTTGTTCTCTGGATATAACATTAACAAATAAGATATAAAGTAGCATATGTACAATAACAGAAAATAGCACACCTTATACTTGTAAATAAGACCAATAAAGCAAACATTGTTCCTCGGTCATAACAGATTAACAGCATCACCAGACCAGGCAGGTTACCCGCCTGCCAACTGGCTTAGAAGGTCTAATGGCATAGCCTCAGATGCCTATATTTGTAAAACCAGGGATTTTGCAAACCAATTAATTGAGGAGAATCTACCAAGAGCCAAGCATATAAGCTTGGCCAACTCTTTAATAGAGCTTTCTTGACTCTGAGTCATATGTTGCATAGAGAGCCGATATGATGAAGGATTTATCTGATGACAAAATGCTTGACCAAGTCAATAAGCTTTCTTGATTTGAATTTGACTTGGTCCTACTCTCTGGACAGCCATAAAAGCATGAGTAATCATTTGATGACAAAACCTTTAGACAATGATGATGATATGATGAAATGCAAATTGTCCAAAAATATCAGAAATGGAACACATATGAAAGATGAGCATAACTTTAACAAATAGTGAATCAAAGTCAATGTGTCAATAAAGAGAAGATGGTCTTCCATGAGATGTCCTTTCATTGGTAAAAGTGAATATAGATGTGTAACAGTGTGAGTTCATAAAACTCGTGTAGCTCCTGCTGTAAGAAGCTGCTTCTTAAAGAGGTTCCTAACTCATTTCAGTCCCAGGGGTAACACAGAGGAGACCTAAATAGAAGTGAATCTAACTCAGTTATCCATGTCCGCAATAATACAACACTTGGAATCTTCATTATGATCTATTAGTCTTTTATATTTATCACTGAAAATGGATTATTTGAAGGGAATAAACACAACAATCATTTTGCAGTTGCACCATCTTATGATTATGCGATAAAATCTAGAAGGGAAACCACAAGTTTGATATAATCCCATGTGCCTGGATCTATGACATCATAACCTCTCAGAAAAACAATAGATGACAGAATCGATGACTGTAGCTACATTTTTAAATCAATAAATTTCATGGAGTGTGCTATTAAAAGTATTAGGGGTATTACCTGTGCAACTCCACGTGATAATCGAAAATCCAAGCTTATTGACTTGGTAACAAACACATTTTGACTGGCTTCACTAATTCCATTTGATATACTGCATTTAGTAGAATTGCTAGGTTGGACACATATTTCGAATGTATCATCAGATTTGTTTTGTGACTTGGATCCATTGCATGTACTCTGAATTTCGGGTTCTGCATCTTTACTCCGACTTTCAGACTCTGTATCAGTGGTCAATGTACTAGAGCTACAAGAATCCACCACATGATCCTCACGGACAACAGCTTTTGTTCCGGAGACTGGTATGATTGAATTAGAGGATTCCATGGTGCGGTCTTCACAGAGAGTCGCTCTGTTTTGTCTTGCAGATGCCAATAGCTCCTCCAGTTCCAGCAGCTGTTTCAGATCAGTTGATTCACAAACTGCATTTGCATGTCCTTGCTCCCATACAAGAAGCGCATCATCCTTCCTACCCAAGGCTGAGAGAGCATTGCCTAATAAGAACAAATTATGATAAACATAGGTTAAAGGATTAGATCTCCTTGGCCCACAAGATACAGTACGTTACTGTTATGGATATCCAAATTAAAAAAGAGACAAGCTTCTTAAACAATTGCAGTAAATGTCAGGTCAGCTAAATTTTCTTTAGTAACAAGCTAGAATTTAGGCATGTGAATGCAGATAAAACATATGCTTCAAGAAATAGATTTAGCATCAATCAGATAGAAATTTCAACTTTATAATTTCCTGCCTGCTAAAATACACAAATGTGATTTATATAAGTATTTCATTTGTATAAAAGGCGTAGGTGTAACATTTGTTTTTCTTTTCAGTCGTACATATTTGGAATGTTCACAGGTGGACGATGCTGCTGGTATATGGTTAAGACGAAGGACATTAACATTCAGTTCTAGACTTCTAGTGGAAGGAACCACAATATGTAAAAAAGATTGCCAGAAATGTAAATCAAAAACTCCTTACAGTCACTCATCCAACACCAACAGAAGCAGCATTAAAAAAAATGAGCAACTTGCCATCTTATAAAAGCCTTTGTGCTAAAAGCTACAACTGTGATTTATATAACTATTTTCATTAGTATAAAAGGCTGTATGGAGGAAACTGCTAGTATATGACTAGGATCTATGACATTACTGTTCATGTCTAACGGAAAGGACCACCAAATGTAAAAAGATTGCCAGAAGTGTAAATCACAAACTCCTTACATTTACCCATCCAACAGAAGCAACATTAAGAAAATGATGAGCTCGCTATCTTAATAAAAAAATATTTGAGCCTTTTCATGCAGCAAGAAACAATTACTAAGTGAAAGGCATAATATGTTACAATAAGGATTGAAAATCCTGCTCTTCTTCTACGAACGAAAAGAAACTTGCAAGCAGTAAATTCATGAATGCTGAATAAAGTACAAATAACAAGAAATGGTAATCTAGGATAGTAAACGCTTGCCTCTGGCTGCAAGGAGCACGGATAATTATCTAATCAGTACTAGTCTCTTCTTAGAACAAGAACAAGAATATGTCATGTTTCTCAGGTAACAATTTTGATTGTCAAGAAACCAGTCATACCTTGACATTTCAACGAATTTGTTTCAAACTGAAATTACCTGCAAGGCTGCAAGCCTAGTTGCAGGTAAGGTAAATAGGTGTTTGTTTCCAGCAGCTTGCAGGTAAGGTAAATAGGTAAATATAGGTCAGTTTTTATAACTTGACAGTTGCAACTAAATTTACATGCCAGGGTGGGTTTTTTTTTTTTTTTTTTTTTTTTGGGGGGGGGGGGGGGGGGGGGTGGTGCAAAAGTAATAATGTGATGGGAGCATGCATATTTTTTTCAGCTAATCACTTGTTTACTGTTATGTAACTTCACCAACAAAACAAACAAAATGCCTTCAACCCAGGAATGCATCATTGGGAAAGCAAAATGTAAGCGACCCTGAGTATCTTTTAGCTGAATTCTCCATTTGCCATTTGAAGTTTATAAATTGATAGGCATGCTTAAGAAAAGCTGGAAGCTCAAAGTGTCAAACCTTAAGTTTGAAGTATTGGCATGGACATACAACAACCTTCACATGTCAACTTCGTCTTTTCTCTCAGAAGCAACAATTTCCAGACAATTGGCATGTTCCTGAAATTGGTTTGTTTATGTGGTTATGCTACATTTTGCAAGGCATCCACAGCTCGGTGATTCTTTAATAGATAATTAAACCTCTTCCAGATGTCCTAATAATGCTACTCAGCAGAGATGCATCTCAACAAAATAAATTTATGCTCAAGCGACGTTCCATGATTGAAAAATTTATCAAGAATGTTCCAATAGTCAATTACATACTACAAGGAAACCTTACGAGATACTATCGCTCTTAAAATGAAGTCAACTAACAATGAGTATGTCTAAATTATAAACAAATACCTCAAACATTTCATTCACTTTGCAGATAAATACCTTTATTGAATTTTCCTATAGATAATTATTTTTAAAAAAATTTGGCTAGTATATTTTTTTACTCAAATCCTAGCGAAGAAAACACTAATCTGGCTCATACGAACACTCCTAATTTTTGTTATAAATAGTGGTAAATAATTAGCGGTCCCTTCCCGCTACGTTATCGCCCAATAGCGGTGATATACTGCAGAATATGCGCTTTCCGCTCGTAAAATCGGCGAATAGCGCACCATAGCAGTGAATAGCGGGCGACTGCGGGCAAAATCTGCTTTTTGACTGCTATTTAAAAGTGGTTTGAGGTTTATTTTTTAAAAATTAAACTTGACCAGCAACCATGCATCTCACAGCCTCTCGCGATTTTCGGCGTATTCTCACCGCCTCCCACAGTCTCCGCCACCTCCCTCAACACCTCCTCTCACCGTGAGCTCCTCCTACTATAGTCCTCTCACCGCTCAGCCCCTCTTCTTGATGACGATGACTCTTTGACTCCTCCTCGTCTTTGGTATAGTGACATGTCTATTTCATATTTAGAATCTCTTTAAATCATCAAATATACACTTTTTGATTTTCTAGATTTTTCTTTAATTTTTTTTAATATTTATACATATCTAAATTAGACCGCTATTTGACTTTGTGCTTTTTACCGTTATTTTTCCACAATAGCCCCATTAAGCCTTAGCGATACCTTACCGCTATACGACGTTATCCGCTATCGATAACATTGCTCCCAAAATGAATCGGAATCTAATAATAAGAAATAAACAATCCAAAAATGAGAACCTAATGAAAGAAACTGCAAAATCAATGATAATTAGCATAACAGTAGAACTTCAAGAACTGGCTCAAATTTGTAGATTACTTCTTATAAAATTTTAATGATTGCCCTTGAAAATTAAAACACCATAATTTCAATTTCAAACTCTTCTTTATGGTTCCAGTATATGCTGAAATTCCCTATTTATGCTTTGCATGGTAGAAATGAGAAACTTATGCTTTGGAAACATCATAATGTCCGTAATTGACAATTCACACTACCATTACAAAACAACGATTGCAACACAAAATCTGAATTCAAACCATCTTCGAAGGTATTGTGTAAGCCATATGGATTGAGTCCTTTGGTTTGACTTAGCGTTTTGTACTGGACTGTGCATCGCTATTTGACAAGGGCTGGGTTTAGAATAAGGCATTTGTCTTAGATATTGGTTGTGTATAATTTCATTGGGTGAGATATTAGTCAAGTTTAGATTTGATTTGGTACAAGGAATATGTATAGACGTATGGCTCCAACCTGGAACCGGGATTATGTTAGAATACATATAAGAATTAGGGATAGCCCTCACCATGTTTATTTAGAAACAAAGTTTAGAGTAGGAATAGCTCTGGAAATAGGAAATAATTCAAAGCAAGTAATTCTAACATTTGACCATTTAATTGATGTGATTAATTATTACTAGTACCAATAGGAAAAATAAAAAAAGAAAGTTTAAATTGACTTGTCTAATATTACGTGATATCACCACCAGATGGAGGGATATCATGTCTCAAATCTCAAAATTCTCAAACATGCAAAAACTTATCGTGATCTATAAGTAAGAGAGGTCACTTTATGAACTAATGAAGCACAACAAGATAAAAAAGTAAAAAGAAATAACATTTGATATTTTCTCAAAAATAAAGGAAAAAGGGAGGGGGGGAATCCACCATTGTCCTCTATCTCTCAATATCACTAATCAGATCTTAACAGAGAGCTTTTTCTATATTTTTTGTACAATGTGTTATGTTCTACGAGTCCAGAATTCTCTAAGCGTTCTAGAAGTAGAAGGTGAGGTCAAGGCAATGAGGTCCTACGTTTCCTGAGGCTAGAGAAGCCAAAAAAAAGGCAATTGCCTTAATTATCTAAGGAGATAAATATTCAACAAAATCATAAATGTTATAAATATATGCAAATGAAACAATATCAACAAATCACAACAAGACAAACTTTTTAGAAAAATATTTTCAGAAGTTATAACGTATGATACCTAACAAGACATAAACCATCTAAATAAAGAGTAAGTTACAAATACTAAATAGTAATACACTAATACTAAATTGCAACTACTAACATAGATAATTAAACAAAAAAAGTTTGAGCTATCAAGTTCAAACTGTGGCATGCCCTCAAAATAATGTGTGTGTGTGTGTTGTGTGTAATATGCACGTGTGTGTAATAAGGTACATTACAACAAAAATATCAAAAAAAAAAAATCAACCAACAGAAAACAAACAAAAAAATCAACAAATTTAGTAAAAGATTCAAAAAAAAGTTTGCTTTATCGGACATCACACCTTCAAAAATTTTAAATAGAAGCAGACACTTTTACTCCTTGCCACACACACCTTAGGCAAGCAACTGAGGCGCCAAAGCGAGCTCTTGAGGCATCAAAAGGCGCTCGCCTTAGTAACTTCATTGTCTGACAATATGCAAGGTGCTAAGGTACAACATTGCCTCGCATGAGCGCGTGACGCGCTAAGGCACATTGCCTTTAAAACAATAAATGTATCATACATTTCTCATGCTATATGCTTAATTACCTTATTCATCTTGCATCGCAGTATGTCTGAACTGATCATGCAGGTCAATACTCTCAATACTTCTCCTAAAGAACTTTTATGATGAATTATAAACAATCAAGATTGCTGCATAGAAGAGGATTGTAATATTTCTCCAAAAGATACGAATTCTTGTACTTTTTCAAGTTTCCTAATTTAGCAAATCATTACGAAAAAGTACATCTTGATTTTTTTGATATCCGAATTAAAATTGTTATGCACCGGAGAGATCAAATCATGACATTCACATATCCTGTTAAGTTTCCAAATTCAAATTATGTGGCCAAGCTAAGTTATCACTCGCACTTACCGATGCATTGACCTCAGCTTTAATAATAAACTCAACCTCAACAGGAATGTATAATGTCTGGAGCTTTAAAACCGTTTATCATTATCAACAAACTTCAAAGTGGTCAACTAGGTAGAAACAATCAAACAGTCGCATAAAAGTTTCTGTTCGCCATAAATTTCCCCCAAGTTTTGATAAATCAGATTAGAAACTTACAAGCTCCTCTAAAAACTTCCGATCAAAAATAAAGTACAAAAACAGAACAAATCCCAAATCCTCATAGGATTAACTAACCTTTAATAATATAAGCTTGAAGAATCATCGAATCAAGCTGAAGAGCCCTATCACAATCCTTTATCACATGCTTGTACAACTCCAACTGGCTATAGCAGAATGCTCGATTACTGTACAACTCCAAAGCAAAACTCAATCGATCGCCGCTCCATTCACAAATCCAAAAAAAAAAAAAACTAGATCGATCCTTACCAAAGATCTTGAACCGAAAAGGACTGAGAGAGTAGAGAATCGAGGATGCGGATGGCCTTCGCCCAGCTCCGAGAGCTGCAGAGCTTAGCGAGCTCCAGTCTCTCCTTAGTTGACGCCATTAGCGATAACTTCGATTCCTAGGGTTTTGAAGTCTTTGTATGTGGACTGAGTTTGCCCTAATTCTGAATCGTCGTTGAGATTGGGGAGAAATGGAGGAGAATGGATGAGGGGGAGAGGGTTCGGACTGAGGAGTTTGGGGGGGGATGTTTCTTTTTTCTTTTCTTTTCTTTTTTATTTTTATTCTCCTCCCCTTTTTACACTCCCAATTAGGGTGGAAATGAACCAAATAATTAACAAATAGTTCGATAATTGTTCGAATAACTATTCGATCATATTCGATTCGGTAGTTCATTTACCACTAAACAAATATTTTTTAGTATTCGAGTTTACTAACGAATAGAATTTAACCAGATGTATATTCGATTCGTTTGTTTATTAAATATTCGTTTAAAATTTAATCACAACTTATTATTTGTATTATTGCACATATGATGTCATATTTTTAATTCACTTACCATTTCTACTTAACTTTTATATACTGATTTTAAGTCTAAAATAATCTTAAATCTATTTTCTAATTAAAATTTTGATTTAAATATATATACATCATATATTAAAAAATGAATAATTTTTATTTATGAATTTTAATATTATTTGAAAATCAAAAAATTTTAGCAGAATAAATATACTCTAATATTCGATAAGTATTCGTGAATATTCATGAATATTTATCAAATACCAAGTATTCGAGTTCGAATTCGAAAAACTAGATATATGAATATTAGAGTCCGTATTCGAATTCGATAATTTTAAACAAATACAAATACGAACACCTTAGTATTCGATTCGATTCGATCGTTTACCACCCCTACTCCCAATTTCCGTGCGCTCGGAGAACTGGCGTTTTGTTTATGCGGGGCTCCGCGAAGACTTTGGTGGATAAATACTCTGTAATTTGCTTGTAACTTCTCCGAAAATAAAAGGATACAGTACCTTTTACTTTGCTCGAAGAGGAGGTTTACCTGGTATCTTTGCCACGGCATCTAAATCTTAACATGCATGAAGGGGTTGTTTGCTGCGCCAATTTTATAGAAAAGTTTTGAAAAAATGACATGTAATGGTATTTTTATAAATAATGGATTTCTATAGATTTCTGTAAACTATGTTCGGTTCAAAAAAAATTACAGAAATATTTTCTATAAAGTAGGGAAAAGTTTGGTATTTTATAGAAATCAATTTCTTCTCCAAACGAGAGGAAATTGCCTAAAAATCTGACACTTACATTAAAAATGATAATTAAGTACACCAGTATCATTCCCTATGTGATTTTTCATGAGCATTGTTAGTAATCTATTTTTCATGTACGTTGTCAGTAATTAAAAATAATAATTAAGTACACTAGTACCATTCCCCATGTGATATTTCATGGGCTTTGTTAGTAAACTATTTTCTATAAAGTGATAACTAACCAAACAAAAGAAAAAAAACAACATATTTCCTATAAAGTTGGAAACTGTTTCATACTTTGAACCAAACAAAAAAATAACAAAAAAGAAAAATATAGTACTCTTTGAGTTCTATAAATTTTCCCTCCTACAAATTTTATAAAAATACAATAAAATCAAATTTTGAGCACTTTTCCTTTTCCTTTTTTCTATAGAAATTGAACCAAATAGCCTCAATTAAAATAAAGTGAACTAAATATAAACTTCCTCCACCAAATAAATATGGAGGTCACATATCTTTAATTAATTAAACTTTTAGTTTAATCCTAACCCAAAGCTTAACCCGAACTTGAACACACTAACCCTGACCCTAACCCTAACCAGAACTCGAACCCATTAACTGTAACCCGAACCCGAACCCTAATGCTAACCCTAAACCTGAACCCGAACCTGAACCCTAACAGTAACCCCCAAATAAGAAAGAGAGGAGACGGGAAAGAGGATATGAAAAATCTTAAAGAATATTTAGTAGGAAAATTAAATAAATATATGGGCTACGTATCTTTAATTAATTAACCTATTAATTTAAATCTAACCATTAATTTGAATCTAACGGTGTAGAATGGTCATCTCATGTTAAGTAAACTATCTTCCTATTTCGGGTCTTCTAAAATTGCACCAATTAAGACGACAAATCTTTTACTGTTGATGAGAGTTTAGTGATGTGGAAGATAGTTCAATCTTCTCTTGGCACTTCTACTCAATGAAATCTCTCAATGCTTGTGTCTAGATCTGTAGATCTCCTTTGATTCTTATGATAATCCTTATGATGCTAAAAATGAATGATCTTTTTTCCTTTTATAGGCTAAAAGGGAGAGTTAATGGCTCATTTAATTATGGGCTAAGTGGCCATTAAAATAGGAGATAGTATGGGGGCAGTTATTCCTTGAAAATGGCCCTCAAACGGCTATTAGACGAGGTTCACTAGCTTGGTGAAACTCACTGAGGACACATGGGTGAAGTTCGCTGCTGAAGACGTTTGCGAAGTTCACTGCTGAAGGTGTTGGCGAAGTCGCTGCTGTATAAGTGAAGCTCGCTGAAGATGCATGGGTGCGATTCGCCGAAAGTATGGATGACTTGGTCCACTTGGGTTGTTATGAGTGAAGTTCGTTAGATGACGAACTTCGCTTACGAGTTCGAATTTAGCATAGAATTCAAATTACAATTTGGCCAACAAATGATGCATTTAGACTCGATCTGGGGCATGTTTTAGGAGTCGAATCATTTTTAACTTGGTCGAGTTAAGTCGAGATGGACTGTTTAAAGAGGTTCGCTTACTCGATTGGATGACCTTCTCTATAGTTTGTTGCGAGCTCAGTTTTTACGCCCCATTCGATTAGCCTACGGACGTTCACTTCTTAGATCCAAGTTAAATATTAGCCTAGGTGAAAATACATTTAACCATCTATAAGACCCTCCAAAGTTTTCAAGATCCTACGTGTGTAGCTGGGATTGAAACACTTTGGGTAATAGCCAGAGGTGTATTGTTGAACATAGCTCGAGTTTCTCTTGGTTGGGTTGAAACATATCTTTACTTGTCTACTTGGTTGCCAGAGGTATACTGTTTAATGTAGCTTCCTTAGAGCCCTAATGATGCTTATACTTGTCCAATTCTGTGTTTGGAATGAAGTTCATTTTTTTATTGTTGAGGCGAAGTTGGGAAACTAGTGTAGTTCAACTGATCTTAGGTGTGAGCGAAGTTTGCTCAACTCTGAGCTGAGTTGTCGAGGTTCGTTGATTGGCGAGACTCGGCTTATTTTGAGTCGTGTCTGGTGAAGTTCATCGATCAGCGATGCTCGCTAACTGGCGATGTTTGTTGAGATTTGCCTCTAGATTTACATCGTGGTATGTCACTGGGATCTCTTGATTAAAGATCTTATGAGATCTGCTACAGATTTGACCGAGTTTTAGGCTAAGATTTAGCCTCTTTGCCCGGTCCAATCAAATCTCAAAAGATGTGATTTTTTTAGGAGTTAGCATTTGAAAGAGGCTATAAATAGTAGCCTTCTTCTTCCATTCTCACCGTCTTCATCTCTATCTTCTTCTTCTTCCCTATGTCTAAGTCTTTGTTGCTTAGATCGGAGATGCTTATCGACAGAGGAGCTGAAATAAAATAGCTCTAATAGGAGCTTGCCCAAGTGAAGGGCAATCAAGCGGATGAAGTCTGCATACTACGCCGTCTAGTAGATTTTCCATCAACTGAGAAGACAAAACTTGAATAGATCATTGAGAATTAGTCGATCGCCTGGGGCAAGTTTAATAGCGATAGAGTTGCATGGAGCTTCAAGTGCCACGCTCTTTGAAAGACCGTTCGGTGACTGAAATAGCGCTTGAAGAATGATCATTGGATCTCCATGAGCGAAAACTTCAACAGTGACTAGGTCTCACAAACATGAACATAGATCGTAATTAGACATCATGCGGCTAACTCAGGCCTAACATCGAATTTTGACTATAGGAAGTGCTTCTTCCCCTTTACATGCTTCAGTCCCATGCAAGGGGGGCTTCTTATTCAACAGCTTCTTCTCATCCCCTTGCATAGGGCCTAGAGAGGAGTAAGCAGGAGCTATTTTTCTATAGTGTGAAAATTCATGTTTTCCCAACATTGTGAGATCGGAGGAGTATATGTTATAGCTTGGTGCAGCTCATGTATGCTCCTCTGCCGTCACATTATCATATTTTAGAAATATAGGGTAGTAGCAAATAGTAATAGATACCTATCACTCTTATAATTTGATAGTCTGAATGTCGCCTTCATGTAGTGGAGTCTTCGATAAAAATAAACTTTCTGTTTCTTAAAATTTTCCATCTTCACATGCTGATCTTTACATACTTTACTCGTATAGCGATCTTAAACTCTGCATGGAGTTGTTGTGTTAGAAGTAAAGCTCAAACTTCCTTGTGCTGGAGAGGGTCAAATTAAGGTGTTAGACTTTTCTCAATTATGGAGACTTACTAAAAATTTGCCAATTCATTTTGGTGGGGTTCGCTATACATGGTCTCAAACAAATTGAGTGAGAATTTTGTCAATTCGAAGACTTAGTGAAATTTTGCCAAATCATTTTGGCGGGTTCACCTTAATACTCCGTTGCATAGGGTGAAGTTCGCTTACTTAAGAAACAATCAGGGCAAAGCTTAGTAAGTCAGTTAGACGAGGCTAAGTGAGTCGGTTTAGGCAAGGCTCGATGTAAGATTTTGTTGATGGCTAAGATCAAACAGTCAATAGTATCTAAAAGAGGATAGATTCGGTTCAGTATTGATGAAGGGCTGCTTTCTTCCCTGACTTTATGTTTGGTTCTTGAGTTTGGGTGTCGATCAATCTGCATATGTAGAAACTCGTAAGAGGGCGGGGATTAGTTCCCCGTTGTACCTCCAACGATCAAGTTAGTTGATATGAACCTGAGTGAGAAAAATTAGAATAGTGTGTTCTTTTGTGCAGAAAAATACTCCATGGTTCGATCTACGTTTTTCCCCCTAAAAGTCCCCTCTAAGTTCGAACGATACACGTATTTATCCGAAACATGAGGGGTTAAATGGTCACTTCGACCGAGCATAGTGAGGCGGTGGCGAAGTGAAGGTTGGCAGCTGAGTCAGCTTTTGCTTTACAGGTGTCCGCTGGCAACTAGAGGATAGATCACTTCGGCATTAAATAGAAAGTGATCAATGGCGGGATAGTGGCCCACGTGGTCTGATGAGTCATGAAGACTAT